GTTGGTGACAATTAGGGTTATTCTTAATGAGTTAAACCAAGTTTTTATTTTTCCCTATAGTGAAGAATAATTTTTATGCCATTTACATTTATAATTATTCCAATTTAATTTTATTTTATTTTTAGGGGTTGGTGACAATTAAGATTATTTTTAATGGGTTAAACCAAGTTTATATTTTTCCTATATTTTTCCTAAGGTCCTCTGACCACAATAAACCAACCAAAACAAGTTTTATATTTTTATGATTAATATTTTAATTATTATAATTAGTTTACCAAAACAGATATGATACATTTGAAAAGTAGAGATCTCTGCCTAGAGACCTCCCCTGACCTTAAAAAAATTAGGGAAGATCCCTCATGATAGAGAGAACCAAAGCCCCAAAAATCAAGTTATGGTGAAATGTCCATGCAAATGGAGAATCCAAATAAGAAATACACTATTTAATTAATTAAAAGTCATACATGCATCAAACAGACATGAAACCATTTCCACATTGTTCTCCTCTGTTCACGGAGCGTGAGAGTATTTTTATTTTATTTTTATGATTTTTAATTTAAAGTTATGGATTTTTAAGGATCTAGTCATTTAAATAAATTAGAAAATCCTAATTTTTCAACTTGAACTAGTCAGCTCCATCTCATCCTCATCCTCTCCGAACCGTCTACGTGTCTGCTTCTGGTTGGGTGTCGCTAGTTGAGTCAGCCTGCTATTCACGCACCGAGACGTCATCCAAGGTGATCTCAGCTGTCCGTTCGATACACGCGCGATCGGACGACTCTCCGTCATCGTCCCCAAGTGGTTCAACCCGAGAACCGTCCACCTTCCAACCATAATATCTCGTTTGATACTCAATCAAATCAAGTACGGTTTGTTTTATGGACACGTCTAGACTAGAAGAACATATCCATACGGTTAATCAAGTCTATGAACATGGAGAATTAAAATAGGCTCAGTTTAAGGGGAGAGTTCAATATCTTTGCTCTTTGCCCAAGAGGTGTGGCGATGCATAGGTATGATTTTGACCAAGGCTGATTTGGGGTGCTGTAGAAAGTCTATGCTATGGTGGTCTGGTGATGGGGCTTTTATGGGGGATCTTCTTCTTTCACTCAGGGGATGGTGTGGGTGCAATTAATTTGACTTTGGTGCACTGTGGAGCTATGGGGAATTATGTCCTGGTTTGAGGGCTAGAAGAAGGTTTTATTGAACTCATGAGGTCTTGAAGAAGCTCTGGGAACAATTTGTCAGGGTCTCCCTAAGGAATTTCAACAACTCCTGCCCTTGGCCGTGGGGGGTGAGTTTAAATAGAAGGGGCCATGGTGGCTCTCAGGCCAAGCTGAGGTGGCTAGGGTGTTGCCTAGGTGGAGGGCAGAAAGGCTCTAATGGCCAATTGGATTTGTGCCACTTGGATGGGTTCAATTTTTGGTTTTGACCATATGGGCTCTCTTGGCCATGGTGTTTTCTGACAGCCAAGGTGGCTGGCCGGCCAGGGTCAGGTCACCATTTGGTCAAGGGGAATAGAGCTTAGTTTTGGTGAAGTCAATTGGGGTTGGCTATGTATAAAGGTTTTGTATTAAAGAGGAATGAGGGAAGGGTCATTTTGGGTCAATTTGGGTCAATACATGATTTGGGGTTGGGCTCACCCATCAAGGAAGGTTTGGGTGCTGAAGAAAATCATGTGGTTCAACTGGGTTAGCATGGTGAAGTCCCCATCCAAGTGGATTAGGGCTAATGGTGTGCTTAAGTGAGTCATGGGAGTGGTTAATCATGTGTAAGGGGACCACTAAAGAGGCTCCTCCTTTTGCCAGAACTAGCATGGTGATATGAGCATGACTCACATGGCTTGCATGTGGCTTGGGGATGGCTTCATGACTTGTCCTTGGCTTGGTCATTTGCATGATAAAGGATTTTTTTTTATTTTATCGGGTATTTTTGTGGAGTTTGTCATGAGGCTTAATATGGAATAATTTGATCATGGATTTAAAACTTAGGGAATGATTTTGATTAAATGGATGCTCTGAAGGAATTTCATGCCAAGTGGGCTTTGAGTTTGGGCTTTTGGAGTTAAGTGTGTTGGGCTTGGGCTTTTGAAATTGAGGTGTGTCGGCACTATTTTTGGTGTGGGGTTTGCCCGTAAGAAGCTGTCGGTCATTGGAATTGAAATCCCGAGAGTTTTGAAAGGATTTAAAGTGACTTTGAATTGAATTAAAAAGTCATTTTGGTAGAATTTGGGCATATAGTCAAAATTGGGGGTTTTTTTTATTTGAGTTGGAATTGAGCTTACAATTTGGTCAATTTGGGCTTGTATTTTGTTTAAATTAGGATTAGGGATATTGAATTTTGATTTGGAATTTAAATTGGGCAAGATTGGGGTCAACTGGCTTTACATTGGGGCTAATTTGAGGAAATTGGGCCTTTAAGGAAAATTTGGGGCTTTTGATCAGAATGGATCCATTTGGTCAAATTGGGTCAATGTGATGGTTCAAAATTGAAATTGGGAATATTTGGGAATTTTTGAACATTTTGGGTCATGAGGGGCATTTTGGTAATTTTGACAATTTTGGGAGTATTTTGGGGATTTTAGAATTTTGGTGAATTTGGATAGTGGAGAATGATTTGAAATGACTTTTGGACAAATTTGAGTGTTTTGGGAAATTTTGGGAATTTTGGCAAAAATTAGGGTTGTAGGGGTATTTTGGTAATTTGGTGATCTTGGGCTAGGATAGACAAGTAAGCCTTGAAGCCATGTCAAACCAATAGGAGCCATATGATGACTCATGGACTCATTTTGGATGCTCAATATGATGATCCTAACCCTCTTAGCCAATGCCTAGGGGTTTGGGTCCATCCATATGAGCTCTTCAAAAGGAGTCAGGAGACTAAATCAAGGGGTCCTAGGGGTTGGGGTGTGTAAGAAAGTGTAGTGTGTGCAAGCTAGCCTAACCAAGACCAGACCACCCAGGGTTAGTCCTAAGGCTTGACCATCTTATGATGTCTCTCCTTGAGCTCCCTCATATTGACCCCACCTGCTAAGTGATAGCGAATATGACCAATATGTGGAACTTCAAGTTGAGTAAAGAGAAATTTAGAATTTATAATGGTGATGGTTCCTTTTCTAGTCTTCTAGGAATAGTCAATAGAAAAATCCTATGGCTAGACCTTAGGGTATTAAAGAGGAAACTAGACCTCAACCAAAAGTGAGGTCAACAAGTATGTTAAAATTGATAAACCTCTTTCCTTCAAGCTTGAAGTTCTTTAGTTTATGAAAACAATCTTCCTTAATTATGAATAAAGGAGGCATCTAAAGTCTTTATCTAGTGAACCTATTAAGCACGAGTGAAGTCAAACACCCTCTAGAAAAAGTCTCAAAATAGTAGCACTCCTTCTGCAAGTGAATCTTGCTCTACAAACCCACAATTTTCAAACATTAGGATGAGAGTAACACAAATCTATCCTTATAACCTTCACAGTGAAAATGTGTTGGAATAACTTGAGAGACTACATGATCTGCTTCTTCTGCACAAACATGTCCAAGAACATGATGGTGTAGGACTTAGTGAGATTTTATGTCAACAACAACCCATAATGATTAAGTATGTTGACAAGCTCTAGATAGAGAGGGAAATGCAACCTAAGATAAAAATGGTCATGAAAATAACAAAGAGAATCATATGTGAGGGTATTAGGGAGCTCACAATCCTTAAAAACTCTTAACTTATAGAAATTATACAAAATGCACTTTAGCTAGATTAGATCATGTTTGCTCTGGGACATCCTACTAAGATCATTGATCTTAGCATTAAAAAATGTTTCATTGCATATAAGGAGTAATGAACCGATTAGCAATGAAAGGAGTGACAACACAGAATGCATGCACAAAATTTGAAGAAACAGAAAAGTATCAAACACACTCACATAGAACCCTACTAGATTTCAGAAAAGGAACTCATAGAAATAATTAAATAAAAGAAACACACAGGAAGTGAAAAGGAAGCAGCGGATACCAAATCAACCAAGCAAACACACATCAAAGATTCTTAGATGCGCATTCTCTTCATTTGATTTCTTGAAGAGCCTTCAAACTTCTTTCTTTTGTCATACAATATCGTGATCAGGTGATTATTGTTAACCCAAACTATTTTTCTCAAGACCTCCATCCTTAAAGGAATGTAATGATTGTGCACAAACATAAACTTTTGCAAGATAATTCTCTTAATTTTCATAATAAACCTCCAAAAGAAATAGGAAAATCGGAGAACCGAAGGATCAAATATACACACCTATGTAATATGTCAGCCAAGCTATTATATTTGTAGCTTTTGAAACTTTAGGTTCCTTCACGAGTGATGAGCTCTGGATGTTCGACTTGATCAAATTTGACCCAATTAACTTGACTTTTGAGCCATGGTGCCCAAAGAGAGTAAAACATTCTTTAGCCCTCACATCGGCAGGGCGAATTGGATCAAATACTAAGGAAGACACATTGTGGGTCATGAAAGTGATCATACTTCCTTCTTAATCATACCAAGATGCTGGCAACCCTTTACCTTGGATGCTAGTTCTTATGAAGTGCATGCTTAAAGACAAGGAGTAGAGGGAAGCAAAGTAGGTACTAAAAAAAGTATTTGCAACTTTCACACTAAAAGAGATACCTCAAAATATGGGTAATAAAATGAAAAGTATCTTTTCAAATGGGAATGAGGGGCTTGTTTTCTCGCTTTCCATCTCATGTAAATGGAGGGCCCAATGGTGAATTTGAAGTCCTTTCATTCTCTCTCTAGTTTCTCTATAGAAAGGGTTTGGGTGTCTTATAGCTGAAAAAACATTACGTCTTCCGTCCGAATGTATTCGGACAAGGATTGCGATACACGGAGGAGAAAAAAAAAAGACATCTGTTGCATTGTAGCCGTTGTTCGAATGCAACTTGTGACATTAGTAATATTTTCTCCTTATAGGTGGGGGGTCTTATTGATGCATCTGTTTCATCACCCACCACATTCTGACCCTCTTCTCTCCTATTCAACTAGAGCGCGCTCTGGAACAATTCGGTTCCAACAGTCGTATACTTGAATATATAATTTTGGGCATTTTTTGAATGTGAAAAACCAGGTTTAATCGGATGTAGAATTGCAAGCTCAAAATCTAGGAACAATCTGCGGATGGGAGTTGTGGTGAAATAACAGAGCCCGGCCTTCTTCTAGGGTTGCAGCTCTCCGCACCAATGGCGCTGCTCTCGCCGCATCTCTTCTCCCTGCCCTTTTCTGTCTCTCATCAGGAACCATTCCTCATCTCTTTCTCCTATCGGAGGCAAGTCCACCGCCGGCGAAATCAAACTGTCACCGCCTTCAGAGCCTCATGGGAGGTGGTTACTTCTCATCCTTCTTTTTCTCGTGTTCCTTCTTCTTTTTTTGTATGGTTGTATTGCGATATATCTGGGACTTGTTTCTGTCTCGTGAATTTCTTGTTTAAAGCTCGCGGGGGTCTTGATCTTCTCGGCAATTCCTTTTGCGGCGGTGAAAGCCGTCGCGAACAGTTCGGTCGGGGAAATGCTTCGTCGGAGGCTTGAGGATACGAAGAAGGAGGCTGCGGAGAGGTCTTCCAGGTTCGAGGCACTCGCTCGAAAGGCTAAAGAAGCAAGGTGAGTTCTTAATTATTGGAAAGCTATCGAGTTAGCTGGCCTGAAGGCTCGTTTTTGTGAAAGCAGTGGTTAAATGGCTTTAGTTCTGCTTTGCATGATGAGTTGATCATTCTTTCTGTGAAGTTAAGTCATTCATTTTATACTAATTTATTGCTAAAACTAAAAGAAATGAACGAAAAAATAAGCTAATAAAGACAAGCCTTGGAGCCGAGTGCAGCACTTTGTCTTGGAACAGAGGGCTACGTTCGTGCACCTATTGAAATCTATGCTTCTCAGAGCTCAACAAGGAAAAAAAAACAATGCAGAACCAACACAGTGAAGAAAAAAATGAGTGGGATTGTTATTTTGTGGCTGATATCTCTAGGCTATAGATTTGGCCTCCTTTTCAAGATATTTTCACTGGTGTTTAGATGATCGCATCTGTTGACCTTTGAGGCATATTAGACAGAAGAGTTGCAGCCAATCTGTGGTTGAGGAGATACATCGTCAAGTTATATTTCTTAAGCCTCTCAAAAATAATCATTAGTTCATCAAGATGCAATGAGTGGCTCTAACTTTTGATGACCATATCATTGAATTGTATTCAAAATTCTTACGTATTAGGTCTTTTGCAGATTGGGGTCATTGTTCTTTGGCAGTTAACTCTTGTGTTCTTCAGATTGAGGGTCATGAATGGGTAACAAAAAGTGTCAATTCAAAGATATATTCTTCTCATCCTTTGATTCCTTTTTAATTTGATTGTAGCTTGATGGTCTGTTTATGGATGGGCTGTTGAATCTCTTTAGGATGTATGATCTCATATAATCCATGAACCCATACAATACGGGAGAGATCTTGTGAAAGAGGTGGGAGGAAGTTGAGGATTTTAGAGAGAGAGAGAGATAGAGAGAGAAAGAGAGGAAGTTGAGGATTTTAGAGAGAGAGAAAGTTAGAGAGAGAAGAGAATAACGTTAGATTCTCCTCATTTTATCCCTTTTTTACTTCTGATTTATACACCATAGATCCTATGTGTCCGCATTGGGGTTGAATAAAATAAAAAGCTACGTTATAGGATGTACTATGCGGAGCTTGAGTAGACTGTCGTTGACAAGATCCTTGGTGTGGGAGACATACAACTAATAAATAGTTACATATATAATAATGGACTAGAGTTCTCTTCCTTCTTCCTCAAAGAACTGTTCATCGAGCTCGGTGATCCAGTTAGGTAGCTATCCATGAGCTTGCTAGGAGGATACAATTAGTACAGGCGAGTTTGGAAGAATCCGGGAAATGTGAGCGAGCTCAGCTGGAGGAGCTTGCCTGAAGACTTAAGGTTAGCCAATTTTTTATGAGGAACTCTCGTGAATGCTGACGAACTTCATAGATACTCTGTAGCTTGTCATCTCCAAATGTAAGTCTAATTAGTACAATTGGCCTGGTCAGCACTGGACCATTAAGTGCGTGGTTGGTGTGTTCGATCTATTAGGTGTACAAGTACCTTAGCTTTTATTTTTGTCACAACCTGATTTTGAGCTTTAACTTAAATAAGGCTTGAATAAACGGTCGAACGATGATAATCATGTTTTTCTATTTTCATTTTCTATCATTAAAATTTTATTAACCAAAAATAAATAAAAGTGCTGCTATAGAAATAAATATAATTTAAAAGAGTTAATATTTACCTTATTTATAGTTGTCTATATCTTCTATAAAAAATTTCTCATTTATTGTTCATATTTACTTTGCAATGTTAACTTAAAAATATTAATTTAAAATAAAGTTCTGTATTTGTATTAAAAACTAGATATCAACTTTCATCTACTCAGAATAATTCAAATCATTCTCGGCTGGGGGTTGTCAATGAGATGATTCTTGAGAAATACTTCTTATTTAGAGTCTCACAGATTTATTCCAATAAAAATAACTGATGTCATTTAATTTTTTATCCGTAATTTTAGTCACCGATGAAACCAAACTTATCACACCATGTTTCTGTTCCATAGCTTATCACCAAATATGAGATTAAAAACGAATGAGATGAAGGGAAAGACAAACTCCAGATGAAGTGGATGAAAAATTTTTAATGTAGAAAAGATTCAGTGCTTAGATTTCTCTAATTAGGTTACGTAATATAAAACTTCCTAATTTACAAGATTTAAATTTAATGCTTTCCATAACAATGTTGAATGAAATATAAGGGCAAGCCTGCTGGGAGCTGAATGCAACGCTCTGTTGAGTGAAGTGTCGTTGTCACTGTTTTTAAGATACGACCCTAGCTTATGCACAAAGAGAAAGAGTTGCCATTGGACCTTATGTTCCTCAAAGCCTCAAAAAGGAAGAAATGCCAAAAGTAAATTGTTTTTGCGTGAAGTAGAAAAATGCGGACTGGTGTATTTGAAAAGTCAACTCATACTGTTTTCACCATCTACCCAAAGAAATTCGCTTCATTTTCTCAAGGAATTTTGTATATTGGTGTTCTCTTGGGTTAACAAAGGGCAGTGCAAATAATGTTACCTGTCTTTAACCAATCATTGGCCTACCATGCATGCCAAGAAGGTCGTACTGAAATTTTATTTGTATGAAGTGGAGTATTCAATTGAATTTCGACCAAGTTGGAAACCAACATAGCTAAATCATTATAAATTGTTATTTTTTTTCCTGTAAAAAACAAAACTTTAACATTTTCCACTACCTCAACATGGCTTTTCTTTGAGACGGCTTATGTAGAGTTTAAGTTTATCAGGGCTATTATGGTTAGTATGACTACTTTTTCTTCTTTTCTCAACTGTGATTTTAGTTGCTTGAGGCTTCAATTTTTTTTCTGTACTTCTTCCTAATTGAATTTTATTACTCCCTCCAAATATATAATTTTTTATTCACTTTGCATCTTTTTTTCAAGCATCTTTCTTTTTGTCAACTTGAATTGGATAAGATTAGGTCTTCTACATTTAGATTATATTTCAGAAGTCAATCATGGTGCCTCATCTTATTAATATCGTGCACAAATTGTCCTGCACCTTATGGTGTTTAATTGCTTTATCTGTGCTGTTTCATAATTGCAATTTTGATTTCTGTGGCAGTCCATGGTATGGAAGAAGCCGCCCTAAATGGCTTGGTCCCATCCAATTTAACTACCCACAATATCTTACTGGGGAGTACCCTGGTGATTATGGATTCGATGTGGCAAGCTTGGGCAAGGATCCTGTGACGCTACAAAAATATTTTAAGTATGTAATTCTTAGCTCTCTCTGTCTTTTCATTAACCAGTAATATTGCATTTAAGGTATTAACGTGCTTGATAATTTGTCATAAAAGTACCTTTAGATAGTTTCTTGTATATTTATTGTTGGCTTGGTTAATCCAAGAATTCTTGATTATGAATTTGCTGTTTCACAAATAATCTCCACCAACTTGTTCCAATTTGTATGAAATACGCAGAATAAACATTGACATACAATGCCAATTCTATGTCTAGGGCACATTAAAAAAAAAAAAAACTTATTTGGTTCTCATTTATTTCAAAATCATTATTGTCAGTTTTATGTTTTAGCAGTAGCTTTATGTGTGAGGCTTTTTTCAGTTCTTGAAAATAGGTATAACTATATATATCCACCTATAATTTGTTGTGCTCCACATCCCGGCTCATTGGTGTGGCCTCTGGCATAAGTCCCGTAGGTCGGGGGTTCGAATCCCGTCGCGCAGACTCTTCGGATCAATTAAAACACACTTGGGTTTCAACGCAAATTGAGGAAGCGTTATTTGGTGCCCACCGGACCAACTATTGATTCCCTTTTTTATTTTTATTTTTTTTAATATCCTCCTATAATTTGTTCATTACATTGTCAGTGCTTTCTAATATTGCCTTGCAGCTTTGAAATTCTTCATGCTCGTTGGGCCATGCTCGGATCTCTTGGAGTTTTTGTTCCTGAACTATTAGACCTTCTTGGCATCGTGCATTTTGTTGAGCCAGTGTGGTGGAGAGTAGGGTATGCTAAGCTTCAGGTGAGTTTTTCATCCAATTTGCATTCTAGTGAAATCATAATGATTTCTTTCCAAAGAAGGTCAGCTGATTAAAATCTCGTTAGTAAAAAAATATTTATTCTTTTCTACATAAATTTAGATGCTAATGTTTTCATGTTTAGGTCCAGCATGATTTTTAGTTCTACTTGTCTCCCTCGTAACAGTTTGCTTCTTTTCATTAGCTTAAAATATACCTTCATTGTTTTGATCCGCAGGTTTTATTTTTTTCTTTCCTATATTTCTTAGAAGTTATTCCGTAAAGCGTTTGTATCTTGGGTTCTGATTGATTTAAGACCCGGATATTCTTTTATGTGCTTTTCAATCTATCTTCTGTATATAATTGTAGTCCATTTGCTACCTCCATCATCTCCTGTACCTTTCTTGTGCCATATTATCTTTTTCAGTGAGTCCATTTTTTTGCGGCCCTACATGTTGGGTAATGTAGAGACCCGGTCCACCGCAATTTAAATAGCTTCTTAATTAAGAATCCCACTTACTGCTCGCCTATTTTCCCATCACTTCCCACCTACAGCTCTCCTGGTTTCTATAAATAGCCTCTTATGACTTGTCATAAAGCCAAGCTAGGCCAAGCCAAGTTCTCTAAGAGAGAAAGAGAAGAAGAGAGAGAGAGGAAGGGAGAGAGTAGAAAATAGAGATTTTCTTATAAACGACGAGGCACTCGACGGCGTAATTCCTCAAGAAATAAAATCCTCTGCAGCTTTCTGGACGTAGGAAAATTTGCTGAATCACATAAATCTATGTGCTGCTCTGGTGTTTTTTCTGCATTTAATTTTTCTCATTATATGTTTCGCTTTATTGTCGTCGTTTTTTTCACAACAACTGGTATTCGAACCTTGCCGAACCTTGGGTTCGAATCTAAGGTAGAACGATAAGCGGAGACGAAGTGATGACATCGGGGATCGAGAAGTTCATTGACACAGATTTTTCTTACTGGAGGATGCAAATAGATGACTACCTCTATGGAAAGAAGCTTCATCTTCCGTTATTGGGAAAACGACCGGAAAAGATGGACGAGGCGGAATCAAATTTGTTGAATCTACAGGTTCTGGGGGTTATTCGATTAACCCTGTCGAGATCGGTTGCCCACAACGTCATCAAAGAGAGGACTACTGCAGATCTCATAGCGGTTTTATCCGGTATGTTTGAAAAAGTTATTGACGAATAACAAAGTGCACCTGATGAGAAGGTTATTCAACTTCAAGATGACGAAAGGTGTGTCTGTTGCTCAACACCTGAATGATTTCAACACTATCACAAATCAGTTGTCGTCTGTTGAAATTGATTTTGATGATGAGTTACGTGCGCTGATATTGTTGACTTCATTGCCAAATAGCTGGGAAGCCATGATGATGACAGTTAGCAGTTCTGCAGATAAATCTAAGTTGAAATATGATGATATTTGATTTTGGCTGAGGAGGTGCGGGAGGTGCGCAGGAAGGATTCTGGCGAGATATTGTGTTCAAGTTCAACTTTGAATGTTGATTCCAGAGACAGATCACATGACAAAAACTCAAACAGAGGAAGATTAAAATCAAAGTTTGGTCAACAAACAATCTGCTGTGACAAGACTGACCACATAAAAATGAATTGCAGGAGTCATAAGAAGAAGAAAAATGATGACGTTAATGTTGTAACTGAATAAATATTTGATGCGCTATTGCTGGCAGCTCACAGTTCTGTTGATGACTGAATACTGGATTCAAGGGCTTCCTTCCATACATCTTCCCACCGGGAGTTGATGCGAAACTATGTTGTAGGTGACTTTGAGAAGATACATCTGACTGATGGAAAAACTCTGAACGTGGTGGGAATGAGAGACGTTGATATTGCACTCTCTAACAAGAACAAATGGACTTTGCAATAGGTCATACACATTCCTGAGTTGAAGAAATACCTCATCTCTGTTGGGCAGCTTAATAAGGGTGATCATTTATTAGTGTTCTCAGATAGCACCTGGAAGGTTACCAAAAGAGCATTAGTGCTGGCTCTGAGTAAAAAAACTGACACATTATATATGACTACAAGTTTACTCAGACGATGACACATGAGTCAGAGGTGCATTATGGGGAAGCAGAAAAAGATCTGTTCCCTGAAAAGTAGTAGAGCGCCAAAGGCAGGAAAACCGGACCTTGTACAGACAAATGATAGAGAACCACAGAGCTATGAAGAAATCATGTAAGATGAGAATTCGAGCAAGTGAGAGTTAACCAAGAAGGAGGAGACGTACTTCTTGTTAGGGAATCAGACTTGGGAGCTGACAGAACTTTTACTAAGGAAGAAAATTGCACAACAAGTGAGTGTATCGGGTGAAGACTGCGCTTGGTGGCAGAGATACAAGACTGGACTTGTTAAAAAGGGCTTTAGTAGGGGCATAATATTACTCATGCAGTGAGAGTTGTAAGCAGGTACAGGAGTAACCCAGGAAAGAGTTTGGTGGTACAAGACTACGTTGACAGTGATATGTCAACTGAGAGTGTTACTCGTGAGAAGTTGAAGTTGTGATCGACTTTAGCTTGTCTTCTGGCATGAAGATAGGGGCTTTGAGTTGCAGAGGTGGATGATAACATGTTTGAGAAAAAGATCGGTACAGCTAGTAGATGATGCAGCCAGTTGGTGATGCAGTCAGTGTCCCATTCTCCTAGTGAGAGAATTGTTGGTTAATGAGGAGACTCGTTTCACCGCAATTTAATTAGCTTCCTAATTAAAAATCTCACGTACCGCTCACCTACTTTTCCACCTACCACTCACCTATCACATCCCACCTATCGCTCACCTACCTCCCATCTACCGCACTTCTAGTTTCTATAAATAGCCTCTTATGGCTTGTCATAAAGCCAAGCCAGACCAAGCCAAGTCCTCTAAGAGAAGGGAGAAAAAAATAAAGATTTTTTTGTAAACGTCGAGGTGCTCGACGGTGTAATTCCTAAAAAAAATAAAATCCTTTGCAGTTTTGTGCACGTAGCTTTGTGCACGTAGACAAATTTGCCGAACCACATAAATCTGTGTCGCTCTGGTGTTTTTTTGCAAGTAATTTTTCTTGTTCTATTTTTTGCTTTATTGTCGTCGTTTTTTCACAACACTACAATATTGCTAGGTTAGATCATAAGTTTGTTTTCATAACATTATTTGGTTTTGAAACATGGCATTCTGGTTTTATGCACATACATTTTCGACATGAAAATTTATGTAACACATTATGAATTCCTCCTTTTCTTTAGCTTTCCACTGAATTATCTTGAGGCTTTAATGTTAGTCCCACTTGTCATGGCTCGTCCCGTGGGATTGGAATTACGTAGGTGGGAACAGAAGATTAGACAGTGATTTCAATTACTATCACTAACAATTTGTAATAACTGAAAAAGTATAATAATAATAATAATAATAATAATAATAATAATAATAATAATAATAATAATAAAACAAAAACAAAATTTAACAGGTTTTGTGTTGTTTCGAATCAACTGTCGTCTCAGCGATCTCTTCTTAAGTATCACTTAAATCGGAGGGAAGAAATAGAAGAGCGGGCAAGAGGCAGAGATACAACTGAAGAAGAAGAAGAGATCACATGTTTTTCGTACTAGATTTTCATTGTCATTTACAGAAGTCGCCTCCGAGGGCTTCCCGTGTGAAGGAGAAGAGAAGCGACAAAGCAAAAAATGAACGTAAGGGTGCCCAAGGAGCTAAGCCAGAAACTAGAATAACGACGACTTAGATCTCAAGCTTGCGCGTCGTTTGTGCCACGATTTCGAGCAAAGTGTGCATAAGAGTGTAGTGACGCTAGTTAGAGCGTCGAACTTGCAGCTTGATCGATAGAATTTACATCCCACACGAGAGGGATTCGAATGGAAAAATAGTCGCTTGCGGGTGAAAGTCTCGTGTGTAATAATTGGTTTTAAGAAACCAGGTAAAAATTTTGATAGTTTTAAAATATACTCCAAATTTTAGCATCACTCAGATTTTAACGATGGTAATTTTATAAAATTTTATACATCAAATGGATCAATTCAATATATAGCACTATATATAAATTATGAATGGAATGGAAATATAAAATTTATAAGATATGGAGTTAATTAAATTAATTATGCTTTTAATTAAATCTTAATTCCTCCTTAATCTCGCTTTCCTGTTTCCATTGACATACCAATGCCATATTTATCTCTTGATGGCGTCGAAGGGCGAGATCCTCAATCCAGTACCTTCACATTTTCCCTCCCCTCTTCCGCTTCCTCTTCGTGTACGCATGGTTTCGCTAACCTGGGGTGGCTCTCCGCTCGATCACTGTAGCACAAAGCGTAGGTCACGTGATCTGCATCCCTCATTTATGCTATTTGAAACATTTCTCTCCTTCCCCACGTTTTCATTTTGATGTTTGTCACGAATCGTATATCTTTTTCGTTTTCGATCACCATAGTAGAAATGAGGTTGCGTCGAAAACAACGAAATTGACTTGTGAACCTCCATAAGGTTCTTTAGCGAGAAATGAGCGAATATAGGAGAGGAATAAGGTGATGAGAAGAAGAATGAAGAAGATTCAACAGTATCAGAAAGGTTGAGTTATGCTGTGAAATTCAATTGAGGTATGTTAAGGCTAATCAATTATGCTTTTGGTTAAATTATATTTTGAGCTAAGATATTTACAAATTTCAGGTTTTTTACTCGATGCAGTGAGCTCCAGGCGAGCTTGTGGAAACTAGTCGCACTGCGGTTATGTCAATTTCGAGTAAAATAATTATGTGCTAATTTAAGAAAAATAATTTAATTAACGAAAACTTGCTTGAATTTTAAAGTTTGATATTTTGTTCTATAGGTTATTAAAATCAACATAAAGGTTATCGTAACGTCCAAATAGTTATTGAAGATCGAGAATCTAACATGGCAATTGAGGTGAATAATTATATTTCTAAATTTTAGTAATATTCTTTATTTTAAAATTTATGTTTGACTGTAGATATGTTCTA